TTATCATTCATCAACCAAATATTACAACAAAAGATACAACAAACCCAAAAGTGGGGAGCGGAGCCCAAAAGAGGGGAGCGAAACTAACAAGAGGAACATATAAAATCGAAATTACAATACAAACTAGAACTAAGCAACTAATCAAACCAAAATCTTGATAAATCTAACGCAATGGATAATCTGACCAAAGAAACATACCAGACGCCCTTCCTAATTCAACAACGGAAAAACCACTTTACCATCGAATTTTTGAAACCATTGCAGAGAGACAATGGCGATGCTAAACACATACCGGAAGACAAACATATAACCAGGAAGAAGACGACCACCAACACGAAAAGCCAAAACCACTCCGAGACTTCTTCANNAGATACTCAACCCAATATCATTGAGGGAAAGNTGTTGATATGCATCGCCNCTTGAAGATTTATTCGGAAAACATACGAAGAGACATGNCACAATTCTGTTGGGCGAGGGAATACTGCCNCGAACGCATCTTCAACATCAAGACGTCTTCACCTTAAGAACCAAANGGATGGGAGAGGAGGCTAAACCAAACAAACTCCAGAAGAGGTTCAAAGAGAGCACCGCGGCATAACTGGGCAAGGAAACAAACCCCAAACCCCAAAGGGGAGAAGAAGACCAAACACCAAACCTAGACAATCTTCAAAGAGCACCATCAAGCTTCCCATCANAAGAGAGAAGACATCGNTGAGCATCCACAAAACCGCTAGATCAAGGTAAGAGAACCCATTGGAGACCCATCAAGAAGAAACACAAACACATGGACAATGATGAAATTGTCAAATAGCATGGGTAAAACTCATACCGAAGCTAAAACAAGCCAAAAGAACAAAAAAAGAGAGGCTAAAGACCTAAGACCAAAAGCCTAAGACTAACAACCTCTCAAAGAAACCAAATCGGAAAGCCAATCTGTAGAGACTACACCTATGTCCTATCAAACCAAGATCGGAAAGACACCCTCAGTCGGGGACACAACCAATCCGAGAGAACCCAAAACACCGATCAGATCTGAGGAGGGAGCAAAACCGACCGACCTTTAATTTTTAATTTAAAGTATATTGTACTTTAATTTTTTAGCAAAAAAAAAACAATATACTTTAATTCCCACAACTTCTGTAGCTTACATAACTAAAACCGACCGACCTTAAATATCCAGATTTGAATACTGCCTTCGTTGCGTAAGTATCAACTCTCGTCAATTATATTAATCTGGAAAACATTTATGATGACGCAGAGGAAAAAGCAGGTGTTAAATCAAAATCTCTTGATGGTGATGGTTCTTTAAACCTATCACCATTACCTACCAGCGTAAATGTGAAAGCAAAATCAAACCTGCAGTTAGCTATCTATACATTTGGTTATCAAATTCTACGGTATCCTCAATTTTTTGAGCTTTGTTGGGTGACAATAAAGCTTAAGGAAGGACTAAGTGCGGATGTTTCTGGTCCTTGAAGAGGATGGCCGCTTAATTCGTGTATCAATCATCTTTGTAATTCCTTGGCATTGTCAAAGGCCTTATTGCTGTTGGATTAGCAGCGTATAAAGGAACCTATATGTCATTGAGGGAAGTCTCCTTTGAGGTACGAAAAGTTCTCGAGCTATCTTAGTGGGGTGGATAAATATAAAAATCAATGCTGGAAAGGACAGATGTCGGTATATTTGAATTTTATTTCAAATTGCTTATCTGGAAACTCTAGTTAATAGTTAGGTATATGCAATATGAAGGTACATCTTCAAATATTTTTTTTTACATATATTTGTTCTAAAGCTTGATGCATATAACATAATCTCATTTTTTTAAATTTTGAATCGAATGCTCAACCAGAGTCGGCGAAGCCATTGTCTTGTTCTGTAGTCAATCTATTAGTGAGAAATGAACCAATCGAGCAAAGAACACTTGATCAAGGAAAAGGGTCAGAAGAATACCGGAAAGAAGATGCTCAAAACATGAATCGGCCAGACCCAATAGAATCTAGTAATCTTACCGACAATCATCAACCAGTTATAGAGATTGCAAATGGTCATATTGGAACAAATAATGAACCTTTTCTTGAAGATACTGGACCTCTTACAACTACGGATGGCTTAACTGTGACCAAAGAGAATGGTGATGTTACCTCAAATTCTGAAATGATGGTTGAGGATTCAGGAGTAAGTTCCTTTCGTCAGACTATTCTTCTTAATCTCAACACTCCTGCAGCTGACAATGAACATAATGAAACTCACTATAAATCACGCGAGATAGATACTACAGCAATGGCCACTGCTTTGCGAAGAGAAGTTAATTCCCAAAACAATACTATTGGATCTGGAGAATCTAATTCTATCTCCCTAAAAGATCCCTACAAATAAACTGACTTATGTAATAGTGAAGCGGGGGATGGAGTTCATGGCTAAGAATCTGCGAACAACATACTTGAACGGTTGAACCAATTTATCAAGCTAAAACTGCAAGCACCAGTCTTGTCGATGACCTTCTTGGTTCGGTTCCGGAAGTCGAATTATAGAGAATAACTATAGGGATTTCGATGGATAGTTTCACAGAAATATCTAGATAGTTATTCTCTACCATT